ATTAAGAAAGCAGGGAATGCCTAACAGCTGAGTGCGCTGGGGGTGGTGTCGCCAAGCGGAGGGAGGCTCATTGGTGAAAAGTCGGCCTATGGTATTCGCGCGTGGCCCGGCTAAGTTTACCCGAAGGTCGGACCTCCTTTCCTTATGGGGTGAGGAGCCAGGGCTCCCGAGGCAGGGCCGGGGAGCGCTGCGAGCAAGCTGGTGAGCGGGGCGGCGGGGCGGGCGGCCCCAGCGGAGCACAGCGGGCGCGCGGTAGGGTTCCGGGCCGGAGGAAGCCGGGGAAGGGTGCGGGCGGCGGGCGGCCCGGGCCTCCTCTGCGCGGCTGGTGCCCCGGCCGCGGCGGGAGGAGCGCTGGGGGCCGCGACCCCGCCGGATCCCGAGCGGCCCCGTTTGGAGGAGCCGCCTGGGTCGGTGAGATCCGCCTGACTCTGTCTGACACCCGAGCCTGCAGTTTCTCCCTGCTTGTGGCATTCCAGACAGCACTGGAAAACAGGTCCGGCAGCATATTTTGAGCGAGCGCGTTGTCCATGTGTAGTTAAAAAGGGAAGAGAAGGAAAGACACTTTCCTGTAAGGACGCTGCTGTAGGGACAGTAGCGCCAGTTTCCGGACACAGGCGCTCTTCCTCAGCTCACCAAGGGCTAGAAAGTGATGGTGCTGAGCCCCTCTTGCAGACAGAATTCAAAATTTTATTATAGCATCTCCCCAATTAATTTAGCATTTTTCTTGTTTTTAAGATCTGGTATTTTTTTGTGAGGGAAAGGGAAGATATGGGAAAGAGACTGATATATCCATCAGAATTCAGTTTAGTTTCAAGCAACAGAGACCCAAAATATAGAATGGCTAATCAAAATAGAAGTTTAACTCTATTTCACACAAAAGCATAGAAGTGGGCTTTCTAGGAGTAATATAATAGCTGTGATCTCCAAAGCTCTTAGAAACCCATGTTCCTTCTACCACATTGTTCCTCCATCCCTATTTGTGAACTCATGGTCCAAGATTACAGCTAGGGTTCTAGTCATCACATCAGCATTCCAGGCAGTAGGATGGAGAAGGAACAAAAAAGAGGAGGTTAAAGCTATTCTTGTGTCTTTTAAGGGTGGTTCTGGGGAGTTGCTACATGGCATTTCTACTTATGAGCATACTAATGGTAAAGGAAGCTGAAGAAACAGAGTCTTTATGTTTATCTAGCTAAACATAGGGAGTTCTATTAATGTGAAAGAATGGGATAACACATTGAGGACCAGCTGGCTGTCTTTGCCATGGCTGCCCCATTCAAATGAACTTCCATCTGCCCTTTCCAAGGGAACTTTCTTGGAGTTTATTTCAATACATTCCTCTTGCTTTCCAAACAGTGACTTCTTGTATTTTTTAAAAGACAAATACATATGTGTTACAAAAATTTATAAAATATAAAGAACAACATAAAAACCATCCATGATTCCACAACCTAAAGATAATTACTGAAATAACTCCATGTATAAATTATCCTTAACTCTAATGCCAAATAAGCAACTTGTGTCTAAAGAGGATTAAGATTTTTTTCAAAGTTTATGGTATTATTCTGTATATTCAGTTCTTCCTTCAGTAAACATTTTTAAGCATTGACTTTTCCCCCAGCATCTTGTTAATTGATGTGTGTGGCTAGGAAGGGGAAGCAATGAAGAAAATTTTTTGAATTAAATTTGTTGCTATGAAGTTACTTATAGCCTAGTACAAAGAGATAAGATAATATGTATATGAAAAATATTAAAATATTCATATATGAAATATATACATATGTATATTGGAAATAAAATTGGATATATGTATATAAAATATTGGAAATACATGGAAGAAGCTGGGAAAACTAATCAGGGCCCTGTAAGTGTCATATTTGTCTTAATGTATATAAAGGTATGCTAGAAAGCAAGAGATAAATGACATATCTTTAATTGTAGAACAATTCCTATTGGGGACAGTTGTTTGTAAAAATGACACCTTGGGAGCACACGTTGTATTTTTAGTTGCTGGAGAATGAAATTTGGATTACAAGTCCTTAGGATAGTCTGATTTAAGCAGTATTAAGAAATAATCAGGCCTAACATGGTTAAATTCTAACCTGTCCTGATTCCTAGATTTAGAAGCCCACACAGTTCATTTAAGGATAATTCAGCATGAAGCATGCCTTTTGTGACTTCAGAAATAACTGAAGATGAGCCAGTTATGGTTCACCTAAAAATGTGATGTGTTTTGCCATGTTCTAAGTCCTGATGTTAAATCAGTGCATTTTTAAAAACACATTTTTGAAGAGAAATACCTAAAACAAAAATTAATCTTTTCTGTTGAAATGTTTGAGAGGGAAAAGTAACTATGTTAAGAAATAGGAAAACCTAGGAATTATACCAAAATATTAGCAATTGCCACTAGATGGTGGGATGTGATTGCCTTTTTTTCCTCTTTAAATGGCATGTACACATGACCTTTTTTTTTTTTTAATTTAGCATGAACTACTTTTGTAACTGGAAAAAAGGTGGATTTTTTAAAAGAAATTTTTAAAAGAAACTATCATCAGTGGCACAGGCTCAGTTGAGATTAATGCTAAAGGTTAATGACTTGTTACTGGTTATGACCAAGTGCCGAGGAGAGTCACTTACAGTGCTCTGGAGCCAAGGGGCTGGTGCGCACTTTTAGAACCTGCAGAGCAGTAGGGCCGACTGTGCCTCCAACTTCCCCAGGTGACCCAGGGCGAAGCTGCTTAGTTTCCACACAAGGAACACAAACTCTTTCATGGAGAAATGACTGGCACAGCAAAGACAGAGGCTCTCTGTGCAGATGTTTAAATTGCTGGCTTTATTTTTTACTCCTGGCAACACTGGAATGAAGAACCCACGTTTTCAAAAGATCCCGGTTTCCTGTTTTCATTAAGAAAGCAGGGAATGCCTAACAGCTGAGTGCGCTGGGGGTGGTGTCGCCAAGCGGAGGGAGGCTCATTGGTGAAAAGTCGGCCTATGGTATTCGCGCGTGGCCCGGCTAAGTTTACCCGAAGGTCGGACCTCCTTTCCTTATGGGGTGAGGAGCCAGGGCTCCCGAGGCAGGGCCGGGGAGCGCTGCGAGCAAGCTGGTGAGCGGGGCGGCGGGGCGGGCGGCCCCAGCGGAGCACAGCGGGCGCGCGGTAGGGTTCCGGGCCGGAGGAAGCCGGGGAAGGGTGCGGGCGGCGGGCGGCCCGGGCCTCCTCTGCGCGGCTGGTGCCCCGGCCGCGGCGGGAGGAGCGCTGGGGGCCGCGACCCCGCCGGATCCCGAGCGGCCCCGTTTGGAGGAGCCGCCTGGGTCGGTGAGATCCGCCTGACTCTGTCTGACACCCGAGCCTGCAGTTTCTCCCTGCTTGTGGCATTCCAGACAGCACTGGAAAACAGGTCCGGCAGCATATTTTGAGCGAGCGCGTTGTCCATGTGTAGTTAAAAAGGGAAGAGAAGGAAAGACACTTTCCTGTAAGGACGCTGCTGTAGGGACAGTAGCGCCAGTTTCCGGACACAGGCGCTCTTCCTCAGCTCACCAAGGGCTAGAAAGTGATGGTGCTGAGCCCCTCTTGCAGACAGAATTCTTTCGCCACGTGTTTTAAAAATGAAACCTAGTACTTTAATTTTAACAGCTGGAACGATGTAATACTGTTTTAAGTCGAGACAGGAAGAAAACTGTTTTATTCCTCCGCTTGGCAGTCTTTTGTACTTTACAGCATTTTGGAGGAAAGGGCGGAAACTGAGGCAAAAGGTTTACACTATCAGGTGTAAACGTTGTGCAGTATAGGGACAGGGAAAGGCAGGCAGGCACCCCAAACTGCTGCAAGTACTTGGACCTTGATAGCCACCGGCAGGCGTCTGTAGCCAGGATAGGGGTAAGCGTACAAGTGGCTTGTATTTTCACTTACTGCCTTTGGGTCCTTTCCATGGCTCTAAAAATGCAGAGCTTGTTATTATGATTCTAGGAAAACACATTACTTAATCCTACAGTTTAAACAAACAAAAATGCCCTTGCTTTTTAATTAAAATGCACAGTTCAGTCAGCAGCAAGGTCTGTGCCTTGAAAGGTTCTTGTGTTTCCTTTTCTAAATGTTTGGTTTAGCCTGAAGTTGCGTTTACCAAATGCCATGTGATCCTGCGCCTGGCGGATAGAGGTTTGCCATTATTTTCATCCTCCTTTGCATTTCTTTGGCTATATCACTGATTCCAGGGCATTCTTGAGGTAGTGTTTAGTCCAAAAGAAGTCAAAGAAGAGAAAACTTTTCTTCTAGATGGGACAGGGGTTTTGTTTTTTTTTTTTAATGGAAGACACAAAGTAGAGCTGAAGGCTGTCCTCTGACTGTATTCTTGCACCCATGCTGCTGGAGTTAATTACTCATGGTCCCTCATGTCCCAGCTGTCACTGCAAGGAAAGTGTCAAGGCAAACTGTGATCTTGTGGAGGTGGGGAAGCACCAGGGCATGCTTGGCCACCGTTTGAAAGGCTGCGCAGTCAGTCTGTAAAAGCAAAGTGGCTGAGAAAACTCACATCCCAGGCTTCCTGGATCTGCACTGACTCGGTCTGTTATTCTGAAACTTCACTTCTTGTGCCTCATATTAAGCTTTATAAAATGGGAGTCTTAATGACTGCTTTCTATATGTCCATGTACTGTAGATGACAAAAGAAGTGATCTACTTGAAAATGCTTTCAAGTCTTTTAATGCATTCTTTTAAAATATAAAGTTTTTAAGTAAGGACTTAACTATGTGCTTGGCTCTTTAAAATCATTATTGTAGAAACCTTACCAGTTAAATAGTTGTATTTCCATTTTTGCTCAGGGGAAAAACTGAAGTTCCCAGAGGCTTTTTAATTCATTGACTCGGCTGTTAAATTATAGGTCCAGGTTTAGAACATAGGCCTGCCAGCTCTTAAGTCATACTGGCTGGCTGCACAGCAACATACACAAATTGGTTTTTGCCCTTATGTATAATACACATGACACTATAATATTCTCTTCTCTTTCAGGAGAAACAGATGTTCCAAATGGAGATCATGACAAGGAACAGAAAGATCCTTATTTTGTGGAGACGCCCTATGGTTATCAACTAGACTTAGATTTCCTCAAATATGTGGATGACATACAGAAAGGAAACACCATCAAGAAACTAAACATCCAGAAGAGGCGGAAGCCTTGTGTGCCATGCCCAGACACGAGGGCCACCCCAGGTCAGCAAGGTATATGGACTTCCACTGAATCCCTCTCCTCCTCCAGCAGTGGTGACAACAAGCAGTGCCCCAGCTTCCTCGTGAACAGGAGCCAGGTTACATCAACTCCAATCCCAAGGCCACCCGCCCCTCTGGAGACCTCACCCACTTTTCTTACTGTTCCAGAGAGTCGACAGCTGCCACCACCCTCACCACAACTCCCAAAGCACAACCTTCATGTCACCAAGACCCTGATGGAGACCCGGAGGAGACTGGAACAGGAGAGAGTCACCATGCAGGTGGCACCGGGTGAGTTCCGGAGGCCCAGGCTGGCCAGCTTTGGAGGCATGGGCTCTACAAGCTCTCTCTCCTCCTTGATGGGTTCTGGAAACCACAATCCTGCCATGCACCAGCTTCAGAATGGTTACCAAGGCAATGGGGATTATGGTGGCTACGCCCCAGCTGCTGCCACTTCCTCCATGGGGAGCTCCATCCGTCACAGCCCCCTGAGCTCAGGGATCTCCACTCCAGTGACCAATGTGAGCCCCATGCACCTGCAGCAAATCCGTGAGCAGATGGCCATTGCCCTGAAACGCCTAAAGGAGCTTGAGGAGCAGGTGAGAACCATCCCTGTGCTCCAGGTGAAGATCTCTGTTTTGCAAGAGGAGAAAAGGCAGTTGGCCTCACAACTGAAAAACCAAAGAGCTGCATCCCAGAACAATGTGTGCGGTGGTGTGAGGAAGCGGTCCTATAGCGCAGGGAACGCGTCCCAGCTGGAACAGCTCTCCAGGGTCCGGAGAAGTGGTGGGGAATTATACATTGACTATGAGGAGGAAGAGGTGGAGAGTGTAGAGCAGAGCACACAGAGGATAAAGGAGTTTCGGCAGCTCACAGCAGACATGCAGGCCCTGGAGCAGAAGATCCAGGACAGCAGTAGGGAGACCTCCTTGGAGCTCAGGGAGCATGCGGGGTGTCAGTCCCAAGAGTGCCGGTCCATGGCCGTGGGTGCCGCTGAGAGAGTGGACGACATAGTTGTGTGCCGCTGGGGCTCTAGGTCCTGTAAGGACGCTGCTGTAGGGACAGTCATTGAGATGACGAATACTGGAGTCGGCGTGACAGAGACCATGCTTGGAGTGACTACTGAAGCTGACAGAGAAATTGAGCTGCAACAGCAGACTATAGAAGCCTTGAAGAGGAAGATCTGCTGTCTGGAAGTGCAGCTTAAAGAAACCACCCTTGACCAGGAGATGACTAAGCTCAAACAAGAGCTGCAGGCTGCTAGATCGAGGAAAAAGGTTGACAAAGCCATGATGGCCCAGCCCCTTGTTTTCAGCAAGATGGTGGAAGCAGTGGTGCAGACGAGAGACCAAATGGTTGGCAGTCATGTGGACATGGTTGACACATGTGTTGGGAACTCTGTGCAAACAAGTAGCGTAGGCATCTCCTGCTGGCCCAATTGTGAGAATAAAGTGCTGGGGCCTGAGCTGCCCATGAACTGGTGGGTTGTTAAAGAAAGGGTGGAAATGCGTGACCAATGTGCTGGGAGGTCTATGGAGACGTGTGACAAGAGCGTGGGTGTGGAAGTCAGCGTGTGTGAAACAGGCAGCAATACGGAGGAGTCTGTGAGCAACCTGACGCTCCTCAAGACCAATCTGAATCTCAAAGAAGTGCGATCGATCGGCTGTGGAGATTGCTCTGTCAACGTGACTGTCTGCTCTCCCCAGGAGTACACCTCCCGGAGTGTGAACACAGACGCTGTGAGCCAGGTGGAAGCTGCTGTCATGGCCGTGCCTCATACCACAAGCCAGCACACTAGTACAGTTTCGGACCAGGTGGACCAGTTCACCAACACTGAGATGGCCACCCTTACAGAATCCTGCACCAACACTTGCCTCAGCACCTCGGACAAGCAGACCAGCACGCAGCCGGTGGAGATGCGGACGGTGGCGATAGGAGAAGGCCGCGTCAGGGACATCAACTCTGCCAAGCTGCGGTCCATCGGAGTCGGAACCGTGCTCTCTGGCAGTTCTGGGTTTGACAGGCCGTTGACTGTGAAGACCAAAGAGTCAGGTGTGGGGCAGATAAATATCAATGACAACTATCTGGTGGGCCTCAAAATGAGGACCATTGCTTGTGGTCCTCCCCAGTTGGCCGTGGGGCTGCCAGCCAGCAGGAGCGTGGGTGTTGGGGATGAGCTTGTGGGACAGCTGATGGAGAGCCCCCAGGCGCAGGCCCCGTTGGGGATGATGACAGGTTTGGATCACTACATTGAGCGTGTCCAGAAGCTGCTGGCAGAGCAGCAGACGCTGTTGGCTGAGAACTACAGTGAACTGGCAGAAGCTTTTGGGGAACCTCACTCACAGATCGGCTCCTTGAACTCGCAGCTTATCAGCACCTTATCTTCAATCAACTCTGTCATGAAGTCTGCAAGCACTGAAGAGCTGAGGAACCCTGACTTTCACAAAATGGGTCTGGGTAAACTCGCAGGTAGGTGGCTCTCTGAGGGACCTGGGGATGAGGAAGGGTCAGGATGACATATTCCCAAGAGGTAAGGATTGTTTTGAACTGCCGGAACCATTTTTTGGAACCACAGTGAAGGCTGTAGAGTGGTAATGAATCAGATGCAGACCAAAAGTCGAATCTGTAAGCAACTCTGCGGAATTTCATTGTCTGATAGTTTCAGGGCCCTCTGGCTGGGGACTAGGGCCAGAACAGGGAAAGCAAAGTAGTGTTGGGGCTGTCTTCTGGGGCTGCTGGTTTGATAAAACATTTTCTAGTTCTTTAATACAGGATGGCCTGAAAAAAGTCTTACACTGTAACCACAATTACCAGGGTATCACCAATAAAAAAAAAAATGCTGGCATAAAATATTTTTAATTAAAACTTTCATGAGGGGAGAGAGATTTCATTAATTTATTACTCAGCAAATAAAGGTTGAATTCCTGCTCTATTTCAAGCAGAGGTATAGGCTCCTATCCTCATGGGGCTCACATTCCAGCTGGGGGCACAAGCAATGAACAGTAGACCTAACGCATGTCAGGAGGTGATACGTGCTGTGAAGAAAAGAATCCCAGTTATGGGAAGAGTGAGTGGTGGTGGCCCGGGTGGGAGCTGTTTGAGGCAGGGTGGTGCAGGACGGCTGCTGATGAGCAGAACTCTGAGAGAGGGAGTGCTTTCCCACTCGTCATTCTGATAGGTACTCACATTTTGTCTTTTTCATTGTTTCCTTTTTTCATTGGGATTCCTGTTCATTCTGCTTTTTTTAAAAATTGAAGCTAATGATTGAGATATTCCCATGGGAGGTGTTATGACAGACGCCGTTTCCCTGCGAGCCTCACGAACACGGCGTGCCTTGCTCTTAGCTGCATGTGCCTCTGCGAGTGTGGGACGGCACCCTAGGCCTGCATCCATTCCTAGCACTCCAGCTCTCAAACCAGCCCGGCCTGGGGAAGGAAAGTCACCCTTCCTTATACCTCCTCTGTAAAATGGGGATTCAAAGGGTGCCCATCCTATGAGGTTGTCAGGGTATCCGTCACTGGCAGGCAGTGACACAGGCCTTTGTTGTCACCGGTGGTGGCGCTAGTAGCTTGTCTAATGTGGCTGCTTTTGCTGATATGCTGAACTGTAGTGTGAGGTTTGGGAAGCTAGTGAGACCATGTTGTCTACTCTGACCAAATGCTACATGTACAATGAATATAAATGCTTCAAATGATTTGTATAGAGTGCATTAAATTTAATTTTATGTGAAAATGTGCAGTATAGACTTATATGTAAGTAAACCATTAACAAAAATTTCAAATTCTTTCTTTCCCTTTATAACCAAAAGGGATATTGCTAAAATAGACGGAAACAGATCACTTTTATGTCTTTCTAGGCTTCTACTTCCAAATTAATATTAGTTGTTGATTAATAACTGAATATTGGTTTTTAGCAAATGCTGTGAAACAGACAGTTTATTTTGGAAGGAAAAATGAATGTGACATGACAGCTGATGTGGGATGTTTGCCTTTTGGAATCAAAGGAGTCTAGTAAATGTACAAGGGAGTCAGTTTTGAGTAGAATGATATGTGGACTGAAGCAAAGTCTGAGTAACAAAAAATATGTCTGTTTCCACTTCTTTTTAAAAATTGTGATGTCAGATGTTGAAGTCAAAATAAAGCTCATAAATACCTCCAGACAGAGATGGTACGGTAGATCTTCCATTATAAGAGCATTTTCCTGCCAGCCTTCCTCCCTCCTCCCCAAGCGGAGTTTCCGTTTCACATTCTTGCCTAAAATACTCAGCTGTACCATTGGAGTAATCTCCCTGACACCCTGAGTATCAGGACCAGGAAGAAGGTTTTGTCTGGCTATGTTACAAGTGTTTTTGGTCTATTCCCAGTCACACTGATACTCCAGACATCACAGTTTAGATCTGACCCTGCAAATGAACACCTAATTAATCAGCTAAAATTTGCAAGACTTACAGCATTCATGAACAGAAGTGTAAATACTTTTATAAGCACTTACTTGATCATAGTGGCAGCTCCCCCTCAAGAACAACTTGAAAGTATTTCTGTAATTGACACCACATTTGTGTTTTAAATATTTTGCTATAAAGTTCTAATGAAGAAGGAATTAAGTTAGAAACACAACCCAGGGCATTACATTTTTGTTATCTGGTCTTTGTTATATAGGCCGAAAATTAAAGCAGCTTGACAAAGTAAAGCAGGGATTCTCAGCACCTGCAAGCTATGGAGAGTGAAAGTGTGTCAAAATGTCCCATGGCTTGCTTACTGTACACACTGTCCAGGACAGGACATTGCTCTCACACAGTCTGGGATACAGTTCTATACCAAAGGCATGTGGAGTGTAGAAAAGTATTCCTTTCAGACTTTCTTTCCCCCAAAAAATGATAGAGAATTTGAGCTTGACATCACTAAAAAGAGCATATAAACTATCAGTTAGATGAACTGAGTACTTTAAAGAAGTTGTTAGTTAAGTTTGGACTCCAAAGCCAGACATTCTGGGTTTAGAGTTTTTCTCTGCTGCTAGGACAAGTTGTCTTTGTTCCTTTGCTGGGTTGAACTGAAGATTTAGTGAGTCAATATGAGTAAAACATTTGGGTTCATCTGAAGAATATAAATGCTCAATAACTGCAGCTCTCATTGCTGTTATTAGTGTTAGTACTTCCAGAAATGGAAATGAAGACACAAAACTGCCAAACAAAAATTGTACAAATGGTCTTTTGTTTTTAATCCGAATTTTTATCTTCATAATTCTGGCTGGCTGTTACCTTTTTCCCCAAATTATTATGCCTCTCCAACTAACAATTTTATCAAGATAAATATTGAAAAATGGGAAAACATAAAATAAATTGAATAAGTTTTCATGGATTAAAAAGGTAAAAAGAAATAGTTTCTGTTTTCATAGAAACGTTAGGAAAATATGTTTATCGTTCCTGTAAATCAGTTGGATTGTTTTAGTTTGAGGAGTGGGTTTGCTTTTTTTTTCCTTTGTTGCCTCTAAAAAGAGAGAATAAGACAGAGAAAATTCTAGATAAATGACTTGCAGTTACAAATACTATAAAAACAGAAAACTGTCTCTGAGCAAACACAAAACAATCTATAACAATGAAACTTAACTGCCTTCAACAAATTACAGAAAATTATTTCCTCATATTCAACAAAAGAACTCCGTTCTAAACCAGCTTCCATAGTTGTACTCTTAGTTATCTTGGGTTTCTTAAAAAATTTATGAAAGTGAAGTCTTTCCCATAAGTGTGAGAGCAATTTTGTGGGCAGAGATCTAAGCCAAAGCAAAAGCAGGGAAGTGAAGTTCTTACAAAATACCGTTTCTAGTTAGTTTTCTTTTAGTTCGATTAAGATACCATGTACTCATCCTAGTACTTGTTTTTTTTTTTTTTTTCTCAATTGTCTTTTAATAAATGCTGTGAAAGCATCAGATAATTCAAACAGCATTTCCGGGACCTTGTGGTGTATAATGTAATGGCATGATACGGTGGAAGGCCCGCTCACCGGGAACTCCGAGGAGCTGCCTTCTGACACTGGCTGCCCAGAACCCTCAGCACCACTTCAGAGAGGAGGGTTTCTGCTGCCATGTCTTTCTGTGTCATGAGCAGGTTGGATGAGCTTTTCTTGCTTGGGGCCCTTTTCATCTGAATTATTCCAAAAACGTGGTTCTTTACCAGGCTGCCCATCAGACTTGAGTGGGGAAGTTTTTTCCAAAAATTCATAGATTTTTCTGCTGCCACTCACTGCCATTATCACCCAAAAGGCCCACCCAAGCCTTATTTCAGGGAAATACTGTTGGAATAAACAGCTGTAGAGTGAGGCTTCCTAATCTGGGGCCCATAGCTTCATAAACAGTTTGTGTCTGAAATTTTTATGAAGAAACTGCTTAATTTTCATCAGATTATCAAGACGAATAGATGACCCTCAAAAAGATGGAAATTATAGGATGTAGGACATCTGGTACACACCATGGGAAAAAACACTTCACCCCTGAGGGAAATCTCTTACAAGGATTTAAAATCTGTCCACCACCTTTGTGAGGATTTCAGTTGACACTTGTCTGAAAACCTTACTCCTTTAAACTGATGCTTTATCATTTTTAATGGGTGTTAGTGAAACACATATGCACTCTGGAAAAAGGTGTGTCTTTACTTTGACTTGTATTGTCTGAATGTATCCTGAAGTATGCACTTCAGTTCTGGCTGAAGAATGGAGGTCGGTAGTTTTCGAGGACTGAAATGACTTTGAGTTCCTGTAAATGATAAAGGGAGTTGTTGGTATTAGACAATGGCTACAGCTGTTTATTTTGCCAAGCAGCAGGTCATGCATATCTCAGGAAAGGCATTTAAAGTCTGCTCTGTCCCCTTCTCCGTTCAGGTCAACTGATAGCTGTGTGTTCAGTGTCCACCTTCTGCAATGTGTATACTATGCAGAAATATAAAGTGGTCTGTACCTTGAAGAATTTGCAATCCAGTTGGAAGCCAAGACATGTATACCGGAAATGGGAATGACAAGTGATGGCAGTGTATGTTAGCCTCCATCTAAAGTGCAAATAGAAAGTGCCTGAAGAATTCATCTCAGTCAAGCCGTCTGAGGTCTAGGGAGGAAATGAGATTAGGGAGAGGAGGTCCTTAGCTGTCTCTGGAAGAGCACATCTGCTTAATCCAGCGTTAGTTGATGCAGCCTGTCAATGTGGGTTTTTTGGGCCAAGTCTTCCGATAATGTGCAATGAGATGTGGATCATTAATCCACTCTAGCATTTTAATTTCTAAGTGTCCACTTTTAGATACATTCAAGACAGCTGCCAGCATATTCCCAGGAAAAATATTAAAATGGCCTAGAAATTATTAGACTGCAGCTCTGACCATTTAAGATCTCAGTGTAAGTAGCTTGGTGACCACGTGCGTTGGCATTCAGGCAGAGTTCTGAGAGGTGAGCCTTGAAACAGAAAGTGATAGTCCTTTTTCCTCCATCAAAGTGGCATACTTCCCCCCAAAAGTAATATGTACCAAAAAAAGAAGGTGATCTTTCATGAATAATCTCTCCTTTCTGTTCCCCAAACCAATTTCTGGGCTGAAAAGGGTGAATTTGTGCCTAAGCCCTTTTCTGTATGGAAAAACTAGACATATTATTTCAGATCCCTTTGAATTCTTATACTTTGGAAAATACCTAAATGACTGAATAGACTCTGTAAAAATTCAGAAATTTCAGACCTAATTCTTGACAAGTAAGCTAGATGTTCTTTAAAAACCAAATCACGTCTAGCAGAAAATTTGGCACAGTGACACAACTAGTTAGCTGGCAACAGTGTTCGTGGTTGTGTTTTCAGAAAGCACTTGGTAATAGAAGTAAGAATATGGGTTAGCATGCCAGGAGAGTTGGAATATGCGAACAGGACAACTTTTAAAATCTGTTTTAATATACTTTTAAATTCAGTTTCCTAATAAATTTAGAAACAATGCCATACACCAACTATGTCCCATTTTAGGTGGATAAATGTTAGAGGAAATGAGGTGATTGCTATAAAAACTCCTCCAGCTCTATTTTCATTGAGTTATTTGTCTTAAAAAAGTCAAGAAAGTAAAAAAGTTTTTCATTTTATGTTACCTATTTTTACTTTATGTTATTTATTATAGTTTGCCTTAGCTGGTCTAATTATCCATGTGTGAAATGCCCAGTTTGCCTTAGAATTAGAATTCATACTCTGAAGGTGTTCTTATTTTCCAGAACACTGAGATTTCTGACACTTGCTGTCTTTCAGTCATGACTAATCTGGTCATGTCCTCAAATGAAGCTCATGCTTTATTTGCATATATGGTCATTATAAGCTGGAGTTAACTACTGAAGACTTGACACGGTTGCCAGCCTCCCCTGTTCACTGATCCCCCAGTTGTGTCTTCAGAAACCGCTGCCACCTGGTGGGGATTCTGAGCATGTAGGCCAGATTGCAGAATTCTGAAGGTGTTTTGAGATCACTTCTGTTGTTTTACCCATGTTGTTTGGGTTGCATTTACTGTTGGTCATGGGTGTCTACCATCATCACTGGTCCAGGGCCATTAATAAACCCCCAGTAATTCCTAAAAATTCACACAGTCCAATTTGATGGATTAAAATCAGAGACAATTCTCAATACTTCTTTTCAGCTGTCCAGTTTTATAGGGGTTAACTTAATTCAGTGGTTCTCAATCCTGGCTGCACATTTGAATCACTTGGGGGATGGGGATGCTTCTGCTTCTTAAAATACCAATTCTTGGGCCCACCTTCAGGTAGTGTTTTGCATCTCTATTTAAAGTCTCCACACACCCACCTCCACCCCCCCAGCTCAGGTGATTCTGCAGGGCAGCCAGGGTGGAGGCCACTGGATTTTGTTGGCCATTTTATTTCTGGCCTTCTTGGCCACACCTTTCTTTTTACTTGAAGACAGCAGTCCTTTGTCAGAGTCTTATGCTGATGCAGGTGTTTTTCTGTGTGATGAGGACGGGGCCTTACCAAGTTCAGACAATTGTCTATGCACCATTTAAGTGCAGCCAGAGTTTCAACATCATCAGAAAAATACTCTTCTGGCAATACAGGTGACAAATTCCCTCTGATTTCAGCAAATGAGAACTAGCTTAATATTTAATGCTTTTTGTTTTGCTAGTTAGTCTCAACAGAATATCTGTGACTTTGCGCTGAATTACACAAGCACTTAGTTGGAGGACTGTGTTCAGTATTGTATGTGTTTTGGTGAGGGAGGCAGATTTGTGAAGGAATCTCCCGGGGAGCTCCCATGCCTATTGCCCTAGAGGAGGGGGATTATGCTATTGATTAGTGTACAAACTTCTGTTTACAGAATTAGGAAATGTGGGTTCTAGTTGAGCTCAGTGGCCTCAGGCTACCAAGTCACTGAACCTCCCTGGCCTTCAGAATTCTTAGCTTGGATATCTGAAAATGAAAATGTAGCTGATCTTGAATGCCTCACTTTGAACATTTTGCCTCCTTCTACCCTTTTTTATTGGTGTCGCTGTTTTAAACCAGTAGCTTCCAAATTAAGCCACCAGTATCAGAATTACTTGTGGATGGGTCAGTGGGGGATGTCAAAATGTCCATCACTGGGCCCCTATCCTAGATCTGTGGAATAATTTTCTGGCAGCAAGTACCTGGGAATCTGTATTTCAATAAATATCTCAGGTGATTTTTATGAACAGTGGAGTTTGAAGAGAACCATTTTAGAAATTGTCATAGTTCTTTTTCTTCTGATTGCTTCAAAATACAGTCAGTACTTAAATTTCTTCAAAGGCTCTAAGCGATTTCAGAGCTTTAAAAGACAAAGTTGTGATCAAATTCTTATCACATGACATTGTGGATAGACTACAATTTTTATTTGTATTAGTGACTTATGTTTATATGTATAATTAAGGAGATAATAGAAACACAACAAAGAAAAAAATTATAACCTTTAATTCCTTAGCATTAGAAAAGCAGTGTTATGCAGGTTTGTTATATATCCTTCCAGACTTTCTCTAATGTGTACACATATAATTATTTACTATGGCAGGCTATTTTCTCCATGCTATTTTATACCCTATTTTCAAACTCATCAGTACATTTTTTAATCTTTCTTAATCTTTCTATGTTAATAAATATCCACCCCTATCAGCATTTTTAATGGCTGCATGGAATCCCTTGTATAAATATACCAGAGGGTATTTCTTATTAGCAAACTGTGAAATCTGCCTTTTTTTTTTTACTTTTTGCCATGGAAACAATGAACATCCTTCTACATATTTTCATATATCCTTAGGATAAAATTTCTAGAAATGAAATTGCTAGTCAAAAAAATTTTTATTGTTTTTTTAAAAATGATTTTGAACACAGTTCATTAATAGTCACCATAGCAAGTACAGGGAAAAGTTAAATCACCATTGCTTGCAGATAACTTTTCTATATATGTGTGTGTGTATAGTAATATGCTTTCATAGGATCATACCATACATAGAATTTTATTATCTACTTTTCTTATGTAACCATATGTTGTAAACATCTTCCATGTCAGCCACATTGAAAGTTCTGATACACCTATATACATCAGTTATGTAATATCACTTGGTTCAATTTTTCTTCTTCAGTCAGTGAATAAGTATTAAGTTTCTAACATGTGCACAAGCCATTTAGTAGATGTGGTAAGAGAAACAAAGATGATTAGAACGTTCTTATACCCTCAGAGTATTTATAGAAGAGAGTGAGTCTAAGGCAGTCACACAGATCGTCTGTACCTCATATTACAGATCCAGTTAGGGTCTGAAAGCTGGGCAGTGAGAGTTCAGAGAAGGGAAGGTCATTTTTAGTGAGGAGATGGGGTAAGGCTCACCAAGGGGGAGTGCTGAGGATCTGGCGGTGTGCAAGGCGAGAAGGAGCATGCAGGTGGGAGAAGGAGGAAAGCCGAGTAAGGAGAGTGGCCAGGGAGGTCAGGGTCTCCACTCAGCCCTGGGGTGGTGCCTCTGCTGGGATGCCATCCTACCTGGGAAAGGATTGTGGGCATAGTGAGAAGCCAAGTTGGGGAAGTGGTAAGTTGGCGCCAGGTTGTGAATGACCTAGAGTATCGGGCTAAGCAGTGTGGACTCCATTTCCTGAGTAGTGGGGGGTCTTTTAGGTTTGCTCAGGGTTCCTGTAGCTGAGTAAGAATGGGAATTGAGCCGAGGGAGTTTTGTTCTGCAGTACTATGCAAGGGCGAATACGGCAAAGGGCGCAGGGCCGCCAGCTTGCTATGCCCATGGCCTAAGCCAAGGCCAGGTGGTAAAGCCAGAGCGGAGAGCAGAGAAGTGGCCTTGCAGAGTTAGAATGACAGGTCCCGGCAGACGCGGATGTGGTCATAAAGGGAAAAGTTAAGAGTCAAGAAGGTCTTGGGGGCTAGAGTTTGGGTGGCTTCAATAGTAGTGCCATGTGTGCAAAAAGAAATCACGGGGAAACACTTGAGAAAATGATGCATTGCAAAAATATTAAACAGCAACAGCAGCAAAAAAATCAGTCCATTTTGTTTGATCTCAGCGTCATATACTTCTACATCCTTCTTGCTGACAGGCAATACTTTGGAATGCACCCATAAGTGTGGAGGCCTTAAGTCAGGAGGACCACTAAACACCCAGACATCCCAGCATGAGCAAGAGGCGGGGACCACGCTGGGGAGGCCCGTCGGCAGCCAGGATGCCTTCTCCTTGCAGGAAAGCACACTGCCTCCTGTGAACTTAACCGACGACCAGATGGCCGCTGGCCTCTATGGTAACTCTCTGCGCTCAGAGTCCTTCCCAGTGGCAGGATTCTAGAACCAGCCCTACCAGCATTCCAGTCTAATGTCAGTGCATCTCATAAATTGACTTGGAAGAACAGCTATACAGTTGTAGGAAAATAGGCCTAGAATATCCTTAAATTAAGATGACTAAAGCGCTGTGCAATCCCCTTAAAATCCATCTGATTTTGTGAATTATGAAACATTTTAAATAGCATTTCACTGTTCACCTTCTGGCAGACACAGATTTTTTCCCAGTTATCTCAACTGAAGGGAAAGAATAATAATCTATTTTAGTGCTTAAATGGTTTTTGAGGATCAAATGAGATATGACATCACTTTATAAACAGTAAAGCCTGATACAAATGCTAGTTGTCACTCTTTTTGTTTTGTCTGGAAGTACTAATGGACTTTTTTTTCCATGTGAGGGACTTTGAATTATTTTCTTTGCATGTACACAATTTTCCAGTGGATTTTGCACAAGTTTCTCATATAGGCTTGCCAAGATCTGTATTACATGAATAAGAAAGAAAACAAATGTACCTAAAGAAAGATTGTCTATCCACTTCACTTCAAGGGGTCTGAGTTATGTTAATTTTGATCACTTTGATTCACTTTTTCGCAGTATGTACCAACAATGAAAGTACACTGAAATCCATCATGAAGAAAAAAGATGGCAACAGGGATTCAAACGGAGCAAAAAAGAATCTTCAATTTGTTGGCATCAATGGAGGGTAAGGAAAAATGGTGGTACTAGCATTCATACATGGTCTGTCTCCTATGCCTTCTGCCTACTTGAGTCATATTTAAAGGTACCTAGTCTGGGATGTGCACGTCTTGGTGATGGAAGACATCCTCCTCAGAAAGGTGCATTTGGGCTTCTCTTCTCTCCTTTTCTTTATATCTTTAAGGATACATCAGTCTCTAAAAGATACCTGATGATGCTGAGCAATTTACATCTCACCTCTGATCTGAAAACAATAGCCCTCAGCAAAAGCAGCAGGTTTCCTGCATTGTTGGACAACTTATGCTTACCTATATCAGAGCAGAAACGGAGACTGAAAGTGTCACTCCATAGGCCACTGGTACATCCGGGCGTTCAGAATGGGTTGTTTTGCTTAGCTCTCCATGTTTACAAACAAAACTGGAGGGCCTTTCCCCTGAATAACCACCTAGTCTTGTTAGCAGTTCTTTGCTTTCTAAATAGAATGTTTTTGTTGTTTAGTCCTTCTCTTAATTGGCCCAGGGAAATAGCTAAGCTTGTGTGTCCCCCTACAAGTGAATCAAAGTAGTGGATACATGGTCTCTACAAGGAGGCAGTAGTGCAGGGTTAGTTGAGATAATATTTATAGTAAAGTGAACCACAAAGATTTAGCTTAACAGTGCCAATTTTCCAAATCTCTAAAGTTTTATTGGGTAATGTGACCCAGAAGGTTTTGGAAGGCATGTATCAGATGAACTACTGGTTACTTACATAATCTGTTCATCTTGACACTGGGAGAATTAATGGAGCAAAATAGGAAGAATGAAAGGGAAAGAAAAAAGGAAAGAAAAAATGAACAACTGCAGACCTGATTTTCATAAAGCAGCTTTGGTTTACACTATACATGCACATCCGCACACACACCTCCCCCACCCCCCCAACTTCCACCAGTGGTATATGATACCAGTTGGCAACCCAAGTTATCCCTTTTAAGTCAGAACCCATTTAAAACCACCAGGCTTTTGTTTTTCTTTCATTCTTCACCAGGCTTTTAAACAGACCTCACTTCGAACTTCTAAGTGCAGGGTCTGAGACCACTGGTGAAATTTCTGCAGTCAGTTGGCAGCTTTCCCTTCATAAACATTTCTGTCACTGGGTCTTTATGGGCACACCTTGCATCTCCTGAACTCCCAATTGCCACCTAGGTATGAAACAACCTCAAGTGATGATTCCAGCTCAGATGAAAGCTCTTCTTCCGAGTCAGATGACGAGTGTGATGTCACTGAGTGCCCTCCTGAGGAAGAGGAGGAGGACGAGGAGGACGGAGACACTCGGGGAGTGGCGGAAGGCCACCAGGCAATTAATATTGAAGGTTTCGAGTCCGCCAGGGTGGAAGATGAAATGCAGGTTCAAGAATGTGAACCTGAGAAGGTGGAAATCAGAGAGAGGTGTGGTACAATCCCCTCCCCTCCCCTTCCCACTCCCAACATTAATGTTCTTTGGCAGTAGAACTAGCCGGTTAGGAGATTTTACAATTGTATCTATTTGGTCTTTTTAATCCCCAGTGGAAAGCTAAACTTTACCTGTTCCTTAGAGGTACATACATCTTGTCATGATACTGATAAATACAAGTGCAACAGGTCTCCCAGATCTCTTACAATAGCAAAGAGTAGGGCTTGACAACACTTCACCTTTATTTTCTTCAACTATTTGTTAACCTAACTTTATGTGTGCAGCTACCATACACAGAACTGTTGCACACCACTGAAGTTTTCATTTGTTAAACAATCCACCTTATATGTAAAGGCATGTTAGAATATTTTGTGGCTAGCCCATTTCTTTTAAGGTTTCAGATTTTGTCATTAGCCATTTGTCTTGGTAAAGGTATCACTACTGTCACTACAGGATCTTTGCGTGTAAGAGGAACACTTTTTTTGCCTCAAAGATCATGCTTACTATAAAGATGATGTAGGCAGGCACATGGCTGTATTTTGTTGCTCACCAAGTGATTGGGAATACCACAAGGATGGATTTGGGAATGTTATAAACAGCAACTGAAATATCAACACTCTGGTTGGCTGAAGCATGTACCTAAAGATGTAGTGAAGTTTAAAGATTTTTAGCAAATATGGAATCAATGCTTATAAGACAAGAGAACAGATGGAAATTTCACTGTGGTTTTTCACTGTGTGAAGTATAAATAGGACGTTTCAGAAAACGTACCTCTGTTTAATTTGGCAAAGGAAAGTTTAACTACATTAACACAAGGTAAGTGTTTTTAGTTTCTATTTCCAAGTATTTTCAAATGGCTCAATATCTTATCATCTGCTTTTTTTAACAGCTTTATTGAAATATAATTTATTTGCCATATGTCCTCTGATTTTTGAAGTTTACATTTTCATGTGGGTTAAACAAACACTTGCTGAGTCACCAAATGTGAGTTCAGATATGTGGTTTACTGGTCAGTATAATGGGTATGTGGTAATTCAGATGCTTCCACCCTTAAGAGTAAAAACGTTTTTACGGCCTTCGACCAAGAGGAGCAAAATATCTTAAATATTATTCCATAAGGTCATAAAGACCAAACGCATATTGCATATGCGTATCATGACAAGACCGGAGCTTTGGCTGGAGGTGTTGGCTCAGCATGCTGTGTCAGTCCTCGGATGCCCAGGGATGCCTGGCCCACCTCCAGGCAAGCGCCCTGCTCTGCCCTGGCTGCCAGGGGTGACACAGGCCTCTGGTCTTTCAAAGGGGTATGGAGTTTGAGGGAAGAGTGTCTTTCCTTTTGTAGCCAGTCATGAGCTCTCTTTTATTTTTTCCCATTAGGTATGAATTAAGTGAAAAGATGTTGTCTGCATGCAACTTATTGAAAAATAATATAAATGACCCCAAAGCTTTGACCAGCAAGGATATGGTGAGTCTGACTTCCAGACATTGCACCCTGTCTGTACAAAGTGCCCAAGTGGACACCAGTGGCACGGTGTCTCAGGCCTGCTCCTCGCTGTTGTCTGCATGCTTACCCCCCAGGGCTATTCTGAGCATGTGTGGGCACAGTAGGCATCAGGCTGCCCTGCTCACTGGACCACCCTGTGAACACTTCCCTCTGGCCCAACTTTAGACACCCTTTCCCCACCCTGTACTTTTCTCGGGGCTGGAGCATCTGTGAGGCATATACTTGCTCAGAGAAGGAGGACTGATTGCCATCAGTTGTCATCATTCTGCACATTCTGCCTCTGCTTACAGAACCTTGTGTTCCAGAGAGCAGAATCCCAATTTTTTTTAAGTTAGCATATGTCTTTAAAAGAAACCTATCTGGGCTGAGGTCAACATTCCTTTCAATTATGAAACTGCGTATTATGTTCTGGTGTGGAATGCAGGCGGCCACTATTTTTAAACATAGACATAACTGCACTTGTCATCTTCTCACAGTTGAGAGATTCAGAAGCAAACAGCAAAGAGGTTGGTGGTTGTCTTAGTGAGCGTGAACAGCACAACATCGCAAAGATAAATATTTCTGTGGCGGTAGGGAATCTGATGCCCTTGCTAAGTGTGTTGCTTGTCACTGGTGAAGTTTGGATGTGTGGCTTCTTTCACAGCTCAGACAGACCTTCTGATTGACAGCTGTACTTCCCCATAGAGAAAATGTAGCTTCTTGTGTTATTTTTCTATAGTAATGTGCATTTGAATGTTTGCCTATTAGCAGTAGATTTAATAGGTGTTACGTTGAGTTAAGTTAGCAGCTAGGGAGAAAGTTGATGTGAAAGTCACACAAAACTATAGTTATGAAACCAAAATTTTAGGACCAGAAGAGACTTATGGAATTATCTAACCCTAGAGGAGCAAATTGTTTTCCTCTTGTACAACAAACACAATCTGAAGAATTGCGGTGGTCACAAGCGTGAGAAATGTGTGGGTGGGTGAGCCCATTGAGGCCACTCTATCTGGCCCTTCCTGCTTTAACTGAGGCCCTAAAGATTATGAATCTTGTCTAGGGTGGCAGCTACTAGTTAGTGCTGGGACTAGATTATACCTGTCTTGAGTTCTGATCTGTGTTTTACTTATCCCAACTGAATAATAGTACCTTACTCTATGGCATCTTTTTTTTAAATTATGCTATCTTCTCCTATTTGTTTATATTGCTATAGAAACTTAAATTTATCAGAACTAACTGTCTTGACATTCAATTAGCATGCTCAAAAGGAGCAAGGCAGCCGTTTTTATAGAAGGAAATACTAAATAATTTTCCTGGTCTCATGGTGTCATAGAACTACATGTTGAACTCCATCATTATAAACTAAATGCCTGTCTACATGTTAGTCACAAATATTAAAACCATGAAATGTCACTCAGGCATTAATACTTCCCACTAGGTTTAACATTAACTTAAAACTGGTGCTTTCAGACCCCAGCTTTATAGCCATGATATTCTTTCTTTTACTGTTCTCAAAATACTAGGTTATGTGATCTTCCGGGAGGACTTCACATTTCTGCAGCCTCAGATTGCCAAGCATACTGGCAGGCACACACTCTGTGACCAGTACCTTTTAGTCAATTGAATATTCATTCAGCAAAGAAGTATTTAAAGTGCCGTACCATGAAAAGTAGTGGACATGTGAATGGTCACAATGCCAGGGACATATATTGGAACACCAGAGATATAGCAGTAATAGAGTTTGACACCCAGATAACAGAATTTCCCTTCCTTCTGTGGGAGGACTCCAAAGAAATAGAAATCTGAATGTGTGAGCAGAAGAGTGAATAGAGTAAACAGAAGAAAAGGAAAAATTAGATGAATCCTTTCCTGGCCAGGACCCTTCTCACAGAGTGGCCCAAAATGTGATTAAATGGGCTCGGACTGAATAATCTGTAGCAGGAAGATAAAGAGATGGAAGCTCTGCCATCCTAATCCTCCTGTTCAATAGCAAGAGGACTTACTGGGCTATGATGCTTTTGGCAGAGTCTTTCCATCTTTTTGGATATGTTTTTAAGCCTTTAAAGAGTAAGCAAAGCACAAATGAATGGTAAACTCATATAAAAGATGGCTCATGGGAAAAGTATTTCCCCCCATCACTAGCGATGGCTGTGCCCAGTCTACATTGACCTTCATGAGGTCCGTGTTTGGCCTGATCATCCATGAAACACATGCCATGTTCATGTGTCCATAGCCTACAGGAGGGCAAGTGGGGCTGATGATCGGAATGAGAAATGTAATTTGGCTCAGAACTGCTTTTTATTCCTTTTCCATGGTTGAACATTTGTATTTGGAATTGGGATTGGAGTGGAAATTGGCTTGGCTGCATACTTAACGGTCTCCCAGCCTAGTGTTGTGGGGATGTGGCATTAACGTTGGTCTGGATAGGAAGAATGCAGCATAATTAAGTGATGTCTTTTGTCTTGATTACTGTGTAAATCATGTGGAAGGCCAAGATAATTGCATATTAATAGTTGAGTAATAAATGGAGCCAGGCCTTCTGTTGTACATATACTGCCTCGTGTTGTCCTCATCAGAAGCCCTGTGAAAGGATTTTTATGACCCCCATTTTGCAGAGGAGGAAGCGGAGGCACAGAAGAAGTATCTTCCCCAGGACTATACAGCTTACAAGGCACAGAGCCAGAGTGTGAACCGTGTGCAGTGCCACGTCTCCTCTTTTATAGAAGTTGGAATATGTTTATCAGGAGGGATGTTCCAGTTTGGAGTTAGAGGCTTCTCTTAGGACGCTGGGTTTCCTTAGTTCTTTAGAGAGTGAATTCTGTCTGTGTCCACTTTGGCTATAAAAGGCCTGGTTTCTTGGGCTTTCGGCTAGGCCTCAAGGAAAGGTCTATAAATAGAAGAACTAATGGCCGCTTACTTGGTGTTTTGGCAGAGGTTCTGTCTGAACACTCTCCAGCACGAGTGGTTCCGCGTATCCAGTCAGAAGTCAGCCATCCCGGAGATGGTGGGGGACTACATCGCCGCTTTTGCGGCCATCTCCCCGGACATCCTCCGTCACATCATCAACATGGCGGACGGCAACGGGAACACGGCCCTGCATTACAGCGTGTCCCACTCCAACTTCGAGATTGTGAAGCTGCTTCTGGACGCTGGTACGCCGCCTGTCCGGTCCCTTCTCTAGCTGTGCTCAGGTTGTGACTCGTCTCAGAGAAGCTGCTTGGTCCTCTCATCTGTGCTGTGACCATCCGAAAATCCTTGTCATGCTTTTCCACACGATGGGGCAAGAATATTGTTCTTGAGTCACTTGTGGGAGGCTTGAAACTTAAACAAAACTGGGTGACGGACACTCAGGATGTGTTTTGAAGGAATGTTTTGAGGATCCTCTTGCTGCAGTGTGAGTGTGTTCAGGCAAGGCGTACCCATGGTGATAAGTGCAACACATTCCCTCCTGAGCTGAATTGTGCAGGCTCAGCGGGTTCATTCTCAGGAGGCAGAGTGCTGCTCACAGGCCCAGAATCAGAGCTCTGGTATTTGTGGGGTGCTCTGTTTGTCCTTGCACCATGACCCCCACCTGAATGCCTTGCAGAGGTGTGCAGTTAGTCAGGTTGGGGACTGAGCAAAGACACTGGGACCTATTAGGGTAGATTCAGCACTATTCCTCCCAAAATTTACTTTGCACAGAACAAAGACAGTGTTATTATTATAACTGAGCCATAGTAATGAGAGCAGTAAAAATTCTTGTTTACAATTGGAATTGGCCATCCCAGAATATTGCCAGAGAATGTATCAAACATGAAGTGAGGGGGTGAGGCATAGAGGAGTCCCCTGGAGAAATGGTGAGCTTTCAACTTTTTGTTCAAATGGAGCAGTCCATTAGTCATATAGTCCCAAATCATTTTTATTTTTGAAATACATATTTTTACTTGTAATGTGTGACTGATACAGTATTCACAGTACCTCAGTATAATTAATGACAACATGATATGAACATATGAACATCTAATTTAGAATATGCAATAAAATTGCCCAGTTTTCCTGTACTGTTTCTTGACCCAACTGTCCAATATTTCTACTGTATCAGTCCAGAGGATACTGGATTAATGCTAAGAAGAAACAAAACAGATTTATCCTTTTTTCTCTTCTAAGGTTGCTTGTTCCCACTTTAGGGGCCATGTTAGGATAAGAGGGCTTCCCTCTTAGAGGAAGGAACCCCAAGCCTCCTTGCCTTCCTACTTCCCAGACTATAAACAGAGCTGGTGATACTGTTGGCCCACGGTATTGTTTAAACAGAAAAGTGGATAATACCCAGGAAAGGTAAAAATAAGATTTCAGAATTACTCCTGAAAGTAGTAATTTAATCTACCTTTGGGCAGTGTGCACAGATGAGATATTTTGGTAAATTGAATGGTTTCAATTCCATTGTTGGATAGCTCTGGTTCGTCACTTGTCTAGATTTACTTTTTACTGCTTACCATTATAGGCTAAGATTGTGGCTCCATAAAGTTCCTTTGTGAATCTGGGATCCTATAGCCTCTGTGAAGAACTGAGCGTCACAAATCCTGAAGGGCCTCAAAGAGCATGTCTACTCACCCCCTTCTCCATCACACAGCCTGTGCTTTCCTTTTTCCTTCTCTGTATTAAAAATTTTGCACTTTTGTAAATGCCATTACATTCCTAGTATGCAGTTGTTTTAGAATTCAAGTTCATGGTATCTTCTCACTCCTCCTGATGGAAACATCCTAAGCATTTTAACTATATTTGGTCACACATAAAAGCTGCTTTCCTGCACTTCCCATTCCTTTCATTTTATTGGAAAGAGCTGAAGGAATTTAAAAATGCCTGCAGAATAATTTAGCCCCCAAATACTCCTTAAGAATTACAGGAATGGAGAAAGGTCTGGCTTATTGGGTCTGTTAGTCTCTGGCAGTTTCTTAGACGACTTAATGTGTTTGCTCTCAGGCCACAATTCCAAGAGCCTAGGCATCATGTGGTTGGAATTCTGCTTCTAAGGGCCACAGACAAATCAGAGCGGCCTCAGGGTCTCAGACGGAGGAGTGGCTTGTAAGTGGGTAACGCCACATTCAGCGTTCTGTACACAAGCCTTTCCCAATCCTTTTTCTATATTTGTACTTCTCACTGCCTTCTTTATTTCAAGACAGTAATTTCCTCAACACCCATTAATGTCTAGACCCCACATTATTGTTTATTCTTCAAAGTAACCATTACTTAGAACAACCTGCCAGAGCTCCAAGCTGCTGTAGTACAGTCACTGGTTGCAAACAAATGTTACGAAAGCTTGCTCTCACTTCTCTTGCTTTTGGTCTCATGAAAGAGAAAAATCATTTCTTCCTTTTGTTTGCTATGTAAACGTCTCTCACATTCCCTTCCAAGTCCCTCTGGGCCTTGGAGCACCTGAGGCCGTTTCACTGGGCTCTTCCAAACCGCATACCTTGAGTTCATGGGGACAACTGGCTTCTCTCTAAGCAGACTCATGTCTTTGCAGACGTGTGTAACGTGGATCACCAGAACAAGGCAGGGTACACCCCCATCATGCTGGCCGCCCTGGCTGCTGTTGAAGCAGAGAAGGACATGCGTGTTGTGGAAGAACTCTTTGGCTGTGGGGACGTGAATGCCAAAGCCAGCCAGGTGAGCATGCTTGTCCCCTGGGTTTGTACTCTCTCTTGCTAAGGCTGCTGTGGCCTGCCGGGATGTGCATGCCACACTTCCCACCACTGAGCGCTCACTCGCTGGTCTGGCTCTATGTCCATGCAGCTGCCAGGCAGGCCTTGGTGGCCAAACACGCCAGTGAAATGGGCTTAAACATCACATCAGGAACTTCTCCCTCCTTTGCCTTGCATTTCCTCTGTTGAGAGCAGTACGCATGTGAACTCTACATCTGCCTGCATCTGGGTGACTGGGACTGGGAGTCCCCACCATCTCCCTGGTGACCATTGCTTCCTGTCTCCAGGCACAGTGTCTCCAGTCCAGATGTGTTCAGTTTAACTTTTAACCATCTTCTGAACATTCCAGCTCCTTGCTATAATGAGACAATAGACCCACCAAGCTAAATGGAAAAAATGACTCATTATTTTGTGAACATAGCTTACAGCTCATAAGAAACTAGTTTCTCCATGCCGACTACCACCCAGTCCCAAATAACTCTACGTCCACTTCTCCCTCTGCCATCCCACTCCCTCCTGCCTTTCCCCCGCAGAGCCCCACTGCAGGCCACACCCTGCCAGGGTGAACTTCTGAAGGCAGCTGTCATTTCTTTCCACAGGCAGGACAGACGGCTCTCATGTTGGCAGTCAGTCATGGGCGGATAGACATGGTGAAGGGCCTGCTGGCCTGTGGGGCTGATGTCAACCTCCAGGATGACGAGGGTTCCACCGCTCTCATGTGTGCCAGTGAGCACGGGCACGTGGAGATCGTCAAGCTGCTGCTGGCCCAGCCAGGGTGCAGTGGCCACCTGGAAGACAACGTAAGCCTTCTCCCGCTGGGCCGCTGCCCTGCCAAGCGCCAGTGGGAACAAAGGGAGGGAGCTCTTGCTGCTCAGCAAGGGAGAGCGAGCAAACCATCCTGGATCCTTCTGGCTTCTCTCTAAGGAGACTCATGTCTTTGCAGACGTGTGTAACGTGGATCACCAGAACAAGTGGATCACCAGAACAAGTGTTCCATTCCTGTAATTCTTAGGGAGTATTTGGGGGCTTATTTTTACCTCCTACACATCCATTTGTGTGGCCATCCTGGCCACCTCCCTTCACGGCCCAGCTTGGTGACATTTACTGTGTGCAAACTGATACTCCCGTCATCAGTTTGCCAAAGACAGAGGGTTAATAGGCTTACTCACCAAATTCACTACAGGAAGAAGGTGATGGGCATGTATAGGAATCAGCATACTAAAGGGAATAAACAGATTTACACTAAAGAACCAAATTCAGTGTAGGCAAGTCCACTAGGGAGAGAGGACCAGGCCCCCTGGTCCATTTGGAAATCTGGACTGCTAGTCATTGCAAGCTGGTGTTCCTGGGTGACTAGAACCAGTTAAGACAGTGAAGTGCTTTTCCACCCAAATGAAGTGAAGTTAGTGTGCCCTTCTTAGTGCCCATCAGAGTGAAGATGTGAGCTTCCATCAGCAAGGTATCCAGCTGTCTCAGCCTCTTTACATTCAGCTCCCCACTCCTGCTCCGCCTGTTCTCATCATCACTCAAGCTCTCCCCACCGTTCCAGGCTGTCCCCATTCCCTGGTAACCCCTCGCCTGGGAAACGTTCTAAGGAAAGCTGCTGCTTTGGATGTCACCAGTCCAAAGTGGAGGAGTACAAACAGGTGAAGGCATGGGGCATGGGAACTAACCTTTGAGTGGTGACGTGGCTCAAAGGTCCAGAGGTCCCAGAGGCTGGGCTTGGCTGGGCTGGTTCTGTTCTGGAAGTTTATCTGTGAAGCACAGGTTTGGGCCAGAGTTTCCATCAGTTTGAAACACTGAAATGTTAAAGGGAAAGTGTCCTCCTTTGCGTTAGCCATCAGATCCCGGGAGCCAGGCCAGCAGAAAGAGCAGCCTGGAGCACCGGCACTGCGGTCGCACCCAGTTCCCTTGGCTTCTCCAGAGCGGAGGGAGTCCCAGCTTATCTTATCTTGCCTCAAGAACAGTTTGTGTTTCATGTGTTTTGCTTTCTGTTGGCTTTTATTCCTACTCAGCAAAGAACAGCTGTAGACACAGGTATAAGAGGCCATAGAGCCACAGGGACTTGCAGAAGTCTTGGGCACCTCAGCAAATTGTTTCCTTGCCCTTAAAGGAGTAGGAAGCATCCAACTGGCCTCCGGAAGAAAAGTGTCTCCCAGGATCCACAGAGTGGAAGGGAGGGACCACAAGATTCAGAATTGGACCAGTGACCAGAAGGGAGTCCTTATTCCAAGATGAGACAGAAAATAAGTTGTGTTTAGAATCCCCTTCATGCTCCTTTATATCCATCTAAATCCCTGAAATTTAATGGAAAGCAAACATCTGCTTGGAAATTTTTCTTCCCTATATTTAGTGTTTCCCCTCCTATTTCCATAAAATACATTTCCGTAGGCCTGGATTCAGTGTGTACTCATGGATGTAACTCGTGGCATTCTACAGGGGGGATTGGGGCTGTAGGATCAGCTCTCTCCCCAAGAGTAAAGTTAAGAGATCTTTGACAAATGGCAAGGCATCAAAACGTATAGCAGGGTACTGGCCTGCTGATAGGTAATTTTCAGAAGAGGAGACAAAGTATGTTTCTACCCCAACTCCCCCTACTGTCCCCTGCTGGTGGGTAGAATGGTTGCATAAGAGTTCTTGGGCAGCTTGCATAGTTGAGATCCAGGTGTGCAGACCTATGAGCGCCACTGTGAGGCGAGGACAGAGGGAATGGGGTTATTCTCCTCTTGACAATGGTTTCTTTATGGTGAGCACTGTGCTCCATCCATCCTTGTATCCTTAGGGCTTAGCACCTCGCGGTCTGGAAAAGTTTCCTAAAGGACTGAGCAAATTTGGGGAACCTTATCAATTACTGGAGAGTATTTTGTTTTCCTACCCTTGGGCTGTCTGAAAGTCTGAGACCCCCAACCTGGCTTGTTCTTTTTGTCTGAAGGATGGCAGCACTGCACTCTCGATAGCTCTGGAAGCAGGACACAAGGACATCGCCGTTCTCCTGTATGCCCACATCAACTTCGCAAAGGCCCAGTCACCGGTCAGTGTTGTCGTTTGGCATTTGTGAGCAGGCTGAAGTCCACCAGACGGGATGGCCCCCTTCCTCGGGGAATTGATAGGAGATGCAGGTGTCATGATGATTCTGAAAATGGAAGTTTTAATCTGGAACTTAAGAGTTTATCATTTTTGCCCTACCCAGAATGCCAGGAGCTAGCACAGAATGCTAATGGTTAGCACTAGAGGCTGGACCCCTACTTGTCCTCAGGAGACAGACACTCTCACACCCTCACTTGAAGGGTTTATTCTGGACAGAATTATCCAAATGGCACATCCTGAGCCTATGAGTACATATCATTCCTGTCATTTTTCCTAAAGCAGACAGTGAGTAGCAACCTGTGGTGCCAGAGTCCACTCTTAGTGGGAAGCTGACTTCCCAGGCCATCTGGACGGGGCACAGCTGAGTGCAGCTCGCTCCAAAGTGTCCCCTGCTGGTGGACCTGTGCCCTGTGTTACAGCTCTCCTTGCTCTGGCCCTCCGGTGTTTGTCAGCTGTCATGGATGGAGTCCCTATGTCACAGAGGGCACATCTGCCTGAGGTCACTTATTAATCCCCAGTTTTTTTCTTTTCCTGGTCTCCAGGGTACCCCTAGGCTTGGAAGGAAGACATCTCCTGGCCCCACCCACCGAGGTTCATGTGACTGATTATGTGCAAATAGCCGTCTATTTACATGCCACCATGAAGCTGCTAATTGTTCCTGTTGGGGTGACAGATACTGAATGTATACATACTGTGCCTGAGCTCACCAGCAAACAGAACACAAAAGCCCCAGGCGGAAGGCTGGAGCTGCACAGCAGAAGCTGAGCTAGCAGGAGATAGCCACTGGCGTGCACCAACCCCTCCTGGCCACCGTCCCTGTGTAGAGCACACTTTATTTACCCCAGTCTCTGTTGCTGTTGAGTCTCTGCTCCGTTATGTACAGTTGTAGGAAATTGTAACCCGACCTGAGCAACTTCTATTCCTTCTCTCCACCCCCAACTGCTGCCAAGAAGTGTCAGATTCTCATTGGCATGGTGTTTTTACAATTTCCGCAAGTATTTATATCTACTAAATGTGGAACCATTGGAAAGCTCTTCAAAAATTCCATTCCAGGATCATTTTGTTGCTTTTTTTCTTTTGTTTTTATTATTTTAAGGGAAGTCGAGATGACTTTGATCATCAGCAGCTTGGGCCTATGTTGGTAGGTTTCTGGTTTAAAAATAAAAATGGAACTCTCAAAAACTATAAGCTTACAAAGGAACTCTTTTCAGTTGGTTTTATCTAGGTGGATGTATTATATGACTTTTTATATAAAAGGCATCTACATAAAATTGACACAGTATTTTCAACTTTTATATTCTGTAGTAATTAAAGACATGAAGAACTATAAGTAACATTACCATATTTTTATTAATAATTGCACAACTCTGTATCTAATGATAAAGGTTGCATTGTGTTAGAGGAACTGGCCATACATTTGCCTCTAGAGAAACATAGCGTAGCTTTCTCCACGTATTTATGGATTCCTTTATACCATGTCACATGTACTTTGGTCTTACATGTATTTAAATGTTTGAAGTGCCTTAGACTCTTGCCATATTTTCAAAATAAAATTTCATTAAGCCCTTTTGCTTGTCCCTGCTTCATCTCTGACAGCTGTCTGTCCTGATCCTATTGACTTACAGCAGTGGCAGCAAAAATCGATGGACGGATCGTACAGGGAGGGTGAAGCACCCAGTCCACTGGTCTTGCACCCCGACAAGAGACAACAGCTTCTGAGAGCACAGCTCCGTTCCCACAGCTCTGCTCAGTACTCAGGGTGCCCGTCAAGACTCTGAAATTTAAGACCTTATTAGGCAAACAGTTCATCACACAGGTAATCTCCAAGGGGAGCCAATGAGTTACCTCTTCTCAGGTGCAGAAGGATTAGTCCTTGAGCCTACTTTAGGTGCTGGGTGAACCGGTTGCAACCTGTAGTGCTAAGAAAGGGGAGATGAAGCCCAATAGACCTTTTATTTCAGTGTGCTGTTGGCCCAGCAGCACCTGTTTTCAAGTCCCTTTTAAAAAGCAGAGGGGATTGAGTCCATCTCATTACTGTGGAAAAGCATGGCAGCCAGAATGCCAGCTAGGGGTTTGGGCTCAGTTGCTGGTGGCTAATTTCACCCCCAGCCGTTTGTGAGAGCCAGGTGCCCTGGAGAAATACCAGAGGCTTTTCTTAACCCTTCTTTTTCTTTCCTTCTTCTTCCTTCCTTTCATTTATTCTTTCCTTACTGAGCTCAAGAAAGACAGCAAAGATTTTTCCATGTGTCATCACAATGCTTGCACCAGAGAACCTGTTTTAAAGGCACAGAGGTTTCAGTGTTTTAGAGAAGAACTGGGAGCAGCTAGGAAAAGCCGCATTGGGAATTCCAGCTGGCTCGGAGCAGTGACATGCTCACCCAGTACCACATGGCAGAACAGTCTCCTTCCATGAACTGTGACAGTGAGGTCACAGCTACTCAGAGTCATGAGCGTCTCTTTCCCTCCCAGGACAGATCTGCTAGCTTTGGGGCTGGGGCTAAATTTTGCTTCAGATAGTTATTCAGCCCAAGTTCCTTCAGACCTGACGTAGCACAATAAATTAAAGCAGAGAAGTGTTTGTGCTTGAAGAAGAGAAGTGGGGCTGTGAGTGTTCTGCCCTTAATGGCATAACATGCCTTTTGAGCAAGGAAGGCTGTATCTCAGGGGGTTTGTGGACCTGGGAATTTTGTTCCATCTGAGAAAGGAAGGCATTAATACTGTCAGTGCCTGAGAAAATGAATTCTTCCATCTGTGGGCTTCATTTCAGATGTCTGGTGCTCAATTTTGCAAGAGAAAACAAATACTTGTCTTATCATGGAGCAAGGTTTTATTCAATCCATATCTAACTTCTGCTAACATGCTGGCTGGTGCCTTGTTTACTCTGCTAACATGGTCAATGAGAATGCTTCTTATCTTGGGATCTTGGCACACTAGAAGAATCACCTGCTGGTCCCCCTTGGGGTGGCTGCAGTTTGCTGAGGTGCAGGTCCATACAGGCATTCGCGGCAGGACACCCGGGCAGGGTCCCCCTGTGAGGCCAGTGTAGGAGTCGGAGGCCCCTGGTTTTGTTCTCAGGCTTGTGGGAAGAGAAAGCTGTCTTTAGGTGACAGAGAGCACTTCTCCAGACACCCTTGGCCTGGACATTAGAGGCTGAAGGCCAGTGTCCACCCCAAGATGAATGAAGTAGAGCAGTGGGAACTTTGAGATTTTTTGTTAAGAAAGTACAAACTGACAACTCGTCCTGCCACTCTTATGACTCAATGGACTAACCCCTGCACCTACTGAGGGTGGGGGTTCTGGGGAGTGTTGCTTCTTGAGAAAGTTACCAGAAGGAAAGAACATACTATCTACCACTAGTCCCCAAAAATAAGTGACCTGTAAGCTGCCAATACTCTAATGAGAATTGTATCCCTGGCTTTCATAGCAAATGAAATGCCACAGATGTGTGATAACCCTCGCAGATAGAATCAGGTAAGAAAACTGCTGTTATTCCTATGAAGGAAATAATGAGTAGGCTAACCACAACCTTTCTTTGAATGCTAATGGGTCATTTGTGTGTGTGTGTGTTGCGGTGGGGGGGGGGGAGCCTGCTGTGAACATATATTTTTATTTTTTTGATGATTTTATGCTTTTTATATTAGGATGTTTCCCCTCTGCAGCATGCATTCAAACTGACTAAAGGGGCTGGTGGAAATGCTGCGTCTGGTCCCCACCCCCAGGATGCCGATTCTTTAGGTCTGGGAATATCCCTCACTCACAAGCATCCCAGGTGTTTCTCAGTGTGGCCTGTGGTCCACACTTAGAATTTTATTCCTCATGGATCCTGAGACACTATCCGTGCATTCTGTGCCAAACAAGTTAGGCGGGGTGGGGAAAGCCATAACCAAACAAGAAATGTTACATTTCGTCTTTATTATGTTTGACACATAGAGAGCCAACATCGTCTTTGTGTGGTGTTCCTCCATGTTCAGTGGCATTTCTGCATCCCCTGGAGTAGTTACTTCTAGAAGGCCAGGAACCATGGCTGCCAGGGATCCATTTTTCTGTGCTTATGGGAACAGGAGGTGGGGGCTCCATACATGAGTAACAGCAGTTGAGCAGGTAAACAGCTCCTGGGAGTATTTTCCTTAATTTTTTCCTTCTCTTCGTGAAGCTGCACTGCTATTGTACAGGGAAAAGGGCATGACCTGTTGTTTTGGCTTTGAAATAAAGACAGTTTTCTGTTTTCTTTTTTACTGAAAGCACAGTTCTTTTTAAGCCCTGGGGCTTAGCCAAAGACTATTCTACTTTCTACCATAAGCAAATTACTAATCATATGGTTACTCTGTTTTTATTCAGCCTGGCTGCAATTTAGAAGCCAGCTGATTATAAAAAATATATTTAAAGTACATTTTGCTGAAGATGATTACCACAAAAGGATGTGGCTGGACCGCCAGCCAGGGTGTCCTAAAGCCGCACACATTCGCACTCCCTCTCTGCCAAAGTCACTGGTTATTTCCTGGAGGGTTGGGGGGCAGTTGGGAAGATACAAGCAGATCTTGACGTGTGAAAGATAGAGCCAGCACTTGGAACGGTGCCCCTGAGGTAACTGGCCTGAGTTTTGGCAAGGATTCTGTAGAGAAGCTGGAAAGCAAAATGCAGTGTTTTATGGGTGCGTGCTTTTATAGATGTTTCTGATTTTGAGAACATTTGGGAGGAAGAGCTGGCATTCTAGGAACCAGCTGTCCACTGCCTCTCCTTAAGATCTTTGATGATTTAATAGGCATGGGGATGGGAAGTATTTCCCTAATTTTCAGATAATGAGAGCCACAGAAATGCCAGTCTTGTATTGGAGCCAAAACTTGTGTCCCATTCCCCAACCCAGAAAGATCCAGTTTTCCCAGCCCTAGAACTACATGAGAGGGTAAGGGTGTGTGATGGAGAGGAAGGGAAAATACTGAGCAGGTGCTTCTCCACCACCGGTGGTGTGGGCTGCTCCACACTGTGTAAAGGTTGGCTGTAGGAACCCCAGTCCCACGTGGGCAGGCCCCCATTTCTCATGTGTCAGGAAGCAAAGAGAATCTGGCAGTGATCTGTTTGCTCTGTTACGAATCACTGGCTGTGCTTAAATAAACAGGTAATAAAGACAATAGTCAGTACTTAGGTTGAGTCCCTAAGAGTTTGAAGGGCGCACTGCCACCCCAAAACCCGTCTAAAACATGTCTCCCCCAGAAAAGCCAGCTGTCCAATAGGAAGTCACTAAGATCAGTTTTCATGGCTGTGACACTGCCTGTCAGGACTGAGGAGCTCCAGTGCTTGGCTGACAAATAGTAGTTGAATGAATGAGTGTAAAAAATAATTCAAGTGTGGCGCTGGAAGTCAGGAGAATGTTACCATTGGGTGGATGGGGGAGGGGCGATGACTAAGGGGCTGGGGAGCCCCTGGTAATGATCTGCCTTTTAGCCTTGGAGTCACTACATGTTAGGTTTACTTTGCGATAATTCATCAGGCTATATGCCCACAATGTGTATACTCTTCTCTGTGTATATTAACTGTAGTCTCTTTTTTTAATTAAAAAAAAAAAAGAAAAAGTTTGATGAAGGAAGTTCTCCTTGGTAGAGAGGGTGTAGATTTTGTAGCCTTGAAGCTTAGTAGGAACAGTTAGTGAATGCAGAACTGGGAACTCCTGGCCCTGCCATTTCTTTTAATGGTAACACCCAGCTTTGCACTGGATGCATGTGGTGGTCCGCTCACAACCTCGGGTAGTAGCCAGATACTCGGGCTGTTCTCAGATACCCCAGCTCTTTCTCTGGGAGCTACCTGGCTACTTTTGAAGTTAGGCTTGACCACGTGACTTGCTTTGCCAATGAAACACTAGTGAAAGTAACGTGCCAGCTCCAGGAAGGAGCTTTAAAAGCTGCTGTGCTGTTCGCCATGTCCTCCTCCTCCTGCCGCGGTGATCACAAAAGTTAAGCGTGGAGATGGGACCATCCTGGGACCACGAGCTACTGCGTGGGGCAGGGCTCCCTTGCCGACCTGTGTGATGGTGTATTACGGCAAGAAATTAACCTTATCATGCTAAGTTAGGGAATTTGCAGGTTTTGTTACCACAGCATAACTGAAGTTTGCTTTACTGATAGAGAAACTGGTTCACGTAAGTGGCTGCTCCTGTAACCGAATGGCTTAGTAGGTGATTTGTGGGCAGCAAGGACCCTGGCCTTTGGAACTTGATCACAGGACATGGAAAAGCATATGATGCTTTCCTTAATTCCCCTGAGGATGGCACACTGTGCCGCCCCAGATGCCCCGGCGAGAAGGTTACCTAGTACCTGGCTGCCTCAGGACTTGAAGGACTGAGCCTCGTTGGGAAGGAAAGGCATTTCCTGTGCACCTTGTAAGGCAGATTGTATCTATCTTACAAACCTGTAATTCCCAAACTGGAGGACACATCCAAATCCCCAGGAGAGTTTGTGGCAGCGCAGACTGCTGGCCCCACCCTCAAGTTTCTCATTCTTAAGTCTGGGAAGAGGCCTGGTAACTGTCCTTTCTATCACGTTCCTGGGCGATGCTGCTGCTGGCCAGGTGGGGGC